CGATAGGCCCAGTACTAAAATTCAAACATGGGTCGGCCCAGTTATGCATTTAGCCCACCCAACATATTTATAGGGCTGGCTGCGCTCAAGTCCCAGCGTCTTTCACCTCCCCTACCGCGAGTAGAACTTCGAAGCCCCTGAAGCTCAAAATCCATGGCGGACAAAAACAACAACAATGGAAAGCCCAAGAAGAGGAAGTACCTCCCTCATAGCGTAACCTCAATGCCCTCCTCAAATTTCATACAACAAAAAGTTCATTTCTTTTCCTTTTTTGGTTGATTTTTTTTGGATTTTTTTTTGTTTGACTGTTTTTGTGTAGAAGCCAGTGAGGAAAGGGTCGTGGCCGTTGAGGCCTGGGGTTCAGGGTTTCTTCATTACCTGTGATGGTGGCCGAGAGAGGCAGGCCACTAATGAAGCCCTCAATCTACTTGATTCTGTGAGTTCTTTATTTTTTTTCCCAAAAATTTCAATAATTTTATTTAGTTTTATTGGGATGCCCAATTTATTGCTTCTTGGTTTTGTTTGTGACTGTATCTTTGTTTTGATTATTGTGTTTTGATTAAAATGAGAAATCTCACTTGAATCCATGATTTTAGTTGTTACTTTATCAAAACAGTACTTTTTAGTAATCTTATACAATTTTTTTATTGGGACGTCCGATTTATGTGCAGGTTGGTTTTTTTAGTGATCATGGTTTTTGTTTGCTTATGGGCTTTCGATCAAAATAAGTTTTTTACTTGACTTCATGATTTTAGTTGTTACTTTATCAAAATCTCTTTTAATTGGGACAATTTATTTGCTGGTTTGACTATATTTGCAGTTTTATATGTTTTCAGTATTGGGTACGATCAAAATAAGATTTTTTAAAAAATACTTGACTTCATGTTCTTAGTTGTTACTTTATCACTGAATTGACCAATATTGTGTTCTGCTCTAATTATATGCTGATGCCCAAATAAGCAACTTGTACAATCTATCGAAGCTTGTTGAGAATTATATTTTTCATTTGCATGCCATATCCAATGGCCATAAGATCGTGACTGTTGCTTTTGATTAATTACTTGTAATTTAATTTAGCTTTTCACAACGAAAGAGAAGGAAATAAAATAGTGATTGTAATGCAGACTAGTTCCACGTTGGCTATCCTTGATTTACTTACCATAGTAGCAGGTAAAACTGTAAAACATATCACATATATTTACATGTTCTAATTTCCATATGAACATATAATAATAAAGCGGAAGCAACAAGATAAGATCGATTAATTTACCTTCAGCCATTGCTTTTGAAAACCTTAGTAGCACTTTAGAAAGCTCTAATTAATGTTGATGGTTCCAAACCCTCCTTTCACTTTTAGATGGTGTATAAAAATATGAGAGTAGATTTGGTGACCTTTCATGAAACACACATTGTCTACTTATACTACTCTAGCCATCATAGAGTAGTGGACAAGATAGTGAAAGAATGGGTGGTTTCCAAAACGTGGGGGAAGATCATGGGTAGTTGCCTTGATCATTGGCAACTTCCCATTAAATGGATCATTAATTTTCCACACTAAAATAATATAATATATTCCTATAAAAGTGGAAAACGTCTTACATTCTCCCACTTAATCCATTTTAACAAGAAAAACTCCATATACGGATCATGGCGATTAATTCCTTTTAAGATCAAAAATTAATCTTCCATGTATCACAATATACTTAGTCTTTCACCACTCATAATTAACTTAATGAGTAAACCTTATGTTTACTCTTGGTCAAAATATAATGATATTTCTCAATATAATAGAATAACTAAAGTATGTACGTACATAATCCAAATGAGAAATTATCCAATGAATGAAAAGTTCATACAAAACATAATAAATGTATTACATAATGGAACCAAGGCCCATCCTTAATACGTGATCCTTGAATCCTTTAATTTGCATGCCTTTAGTCAATGGATCAGCTATCATCAATTCAGTGCTAATGTGCTCAATGATCACTTTCTTTTCTTGCACACGTTCTTTTACGGCTAGATACTTTATGTCGATGTGTTTACTTCGACTTCCACTCTTATTATTCTTAGCCATAAAGACAGCAGCTGAATTATCACAATACATTCTTATTGGCCGACTAATAGAGTCAACAACTCTTAGCCCAGATATGAAGCTTTTCAACCATACATCATGTGAGGTAGCCTCAAAACAAGAAACAAACTCAGCCTCCATTGTAGAAGTGTCCGTCAAGGTCTGCTTCGTACTCCTCCAGGATACGGATCCATCGGCTAGCATAAACACATATCCTGATGTGAATTTACGTGAATCATTGTAGCCACCGAAGTTGGAGTCGGAGTAGCCTACCACTTCAAGACTATCAGTCCGTCTATACATAAGCATGTAATCTTTAGTACCCTTAAGGTACCTCAGCACTTTCTTCGCAGCCTTCCAGTGATCGATGCCTGGGTTACTTTGATATCCCCCTTAAGGTACCTCAGCACTTTCTTCGCAGCCTTCCAGTGATCGATGCCTGGGTTACTTTGATATCTGTCTAATACTCCAACGGCATATGCAATGTCGGGTCTAGTATAGACCTGAGCATACATAATGCTACCAACAGCTGAAGCATATGGAACATTTTTCATTTGTTCCTTTTCAATGTCATTCTTGGGGCATTGGTCCAAACTGAACCGGTCCCTTTTCACAATGGGTGCTACACTTGGTGAACAATCTTTCATACTGAATCTTTCTAAGACTTTGTTGATATAGGCCTCTTGAGACAAACCCAATATGCCTCGAGATCTATCTCTATGGATCTTTATGCCAATGACATAAGACGCCTCGTCCATATCTTTCATATCAAAGTTACTTGAAAGAAATTGTTTCACCTCATATAGAAACCCCTTATCGTTGGTTGCTAGCAAAATATCATCCACATACAACACAAGGAAACAAATCTTGCTCCCACTGACCTTAAGGTATATACATTGATCCATAATATTTTCTTCGAAACCAAATGAAGTAATCACTTTATGGAATTTCATATACCATTGTCGGGAAGCTTGTTTCAACCCGTATATGGATTTATTAAGCTTACAAACCAAATGCTCACCATCCTTAGAGAAGAATCCTTCAGGTTGTTTCATATAAACCTCTTCCTCTAAGTCACCATTGAGAAATGCCGTTTTCACATCCATCTGATATAGCTCAAAATCAAAGTGAGCTACTAATGCCATCACCATTCGAAAGGAATCTTTCTTTGATACAGGAGAGAAAGTCTCTGTGTAGTCGATTCCTTCCATTTGAGTGAACCCTTTGGCAACGAGTCTAGCCTTATGTCTTTCGACGTTGCCTTGTGAGTCTTTCTTTGTCTTGAAGACCCACTTACATCCATTGGTTTTTACACCATTTGGCAACTCGACAAGATCCCAAACTCGATTAGATGCCATGGAGTCCATCTCATCTTTCATGGCATTCATCCATAAGTTTGAATTTGTAGAGCTTATGGCCTGTGAAAATGACATAGGATCATTATCGGCTCCAATATTACAATCCGATTCTTGTAGATACACTAAATAGTCATCAGAAATAGTTGATTTCCTTGGTCTAGTAGATCTCCTCAATGGAACTTGTTCATCTTCATGATGAACTGTTTGTTCCTCATTTACATTATGATCTGCTAGATTATTGTCAACTTGTGGAACCTCAATAGTTGGTTGTCTAACACGCAATTGAGATTGAGGTGCGTGAATGACAATCAACTTATCACTTGAAACAATATGTGGAATTTGATCATCATTCTTTTCAGGAACAATGTCCTGAAATTGATCACTCCCACTAATCAAGTCATTTTCAAGAAACTTAGCATTTCTTGATTCCACAATTCTGGTGCTATGAGTTGGACAATAGAATCTATAACCCTTGGACTTTTCGGCATATCCAATGAAATACTCGCTAATAGTCCTTGGATCTAGCTTCTTCTCTAGTGGATTGTACACTCAAACCTCAGACGGGCATCCCCAAATGCGTACATGTTGCAAACTTGGTTTCCATCCTTTGAATAGCTCAAAAGGTGTCTTTGAGACAGCCTTGGAGGGAACCCGGTTTAATATATACGCTGTCGTCTTAAGAGCATCAACCCATAAGAATGATGGAAGTTTAACATTACTTCTCATACTTTTCACCATGTCCATTAAAGTTCTATTTCTTCTTTCTGCTACACCATTTTGGTCTGGAGAACCAGGCATAGTGTATTGGGCAACAATCCCATGCTCTTGAAGAAATTTAGCAAATGGACTTGGCGCTTGTCCGTTCTCAGTGTATCTACCATAGTACTCTCCACCTCTATCTGATCTCACAATCTTTATGTGCTTATCACATTGTTTCTCTACTTCAACCTTAAACAATTTAAAGGCATCCAAAGCTTCGTCCTTAGAACGAAGTAAGTAAAGATACATATATCGTGAATAATCATCTATGAAGGTGATAAAGTATTTCGGATCATTAGCGTTCATGTCCGGACAACAAATATCCGTGTGAATGATCTCTAACAGGCTTGAACTCCTTTTGGCACCCATTTTATGTTTGTTAGTTTGCTTTCCCTTAATGCAACTAACACAAGTGTCAAAATCAGTGAAGTCTAAAGTACTAAGTACTCCATCCTTTACCAATCTCTTAACTCTCTCAATGGAGATATGTCCCAATCTCCGGTGCCACAAAATAGATGAGTTCTCATTCATAATACATCTTTTTAATCCAGTATTAACATGCATAGAATTATGAGTGATATCATTTTGCAAAGAAAGACGATATAAGCCATCAGACAAAATACCATAACCAATAACTTCAGAATTTCTGAAAATACTGAAACCAGAATCTGAAAAATTAAAGAAAATTCCTAAAGGTACAAGTCTTAAAACTGAAATCAAATTCCTAGTAAAACTAGGTACATAAAACGTCTTTTCTAAATGCAAAATAAAACCACTACTAAGAATTAAACTGCATGTCCCAACGGCCTCCACATGTGAACTCATCTGGCTGCCTGAATAGATGTAGTGTTCACTTTCCATTGGTTTCCTTAGGTTTGTCATACCTTGTAAGGTATTCGAAACATGAATTGTAGTACCGGAATCAATCCACCATGTATTATGATTAATATTAACCATATTAGATTCATAAACGAACGCAAGAAAATTACCTTTCTTCTCAAGCCAAGTCTTAAACTTAATGCAGTCTTTCTTCATGTGTCCCTTCTTTTTACAAAAGAAACACGCAGACTCCTTCTTTATGCCTTGCTTAGCTGTAATCTTTCCCTTTTGCTCAATGTGATCCTTTTTCTTCTTTGAAGAAGAACCAGTAGTAAGGTTCACCTTCTCACCTTCTTCCATCACTAGTCTGCCTTCCTCTTGAACACACATGGTCATAAGTTCATTAATTCACCATGTATCCTTATGTGTGTTATAAGAGATCTTAAAGGGGCCATACTGTGGAGGAAGTGTGCACAAAATGAAATACACTAGGAAAGAGTCAGACATGGTAACTTCCAAAGTATTAAGTTGGACCGCAATATCCCTCATGCGCATGATATAATCACGCACACCCTTAGTCTCATGGTGCCTCATGGATGAGAATTTCATAATTAAGGTGCTAGCAAGAGCTTTGTCAGAAGTTGCAAACTGCTCATCAATGGCATAAAGGAGATCTCTAACCTTAGTATGCTTATCGACAGAACCCCGAATACTAGCACAAATTTTGGTCTTTATGAACATAACAGAGAGGCGATTAGATCGCTCCCACTTTTCATAAAGATTAACTGCATCTGGAGTGCTAGTTTCAGTTATACCCGGTGGTTCGTCTTTCCGAATAGCATAGTCGATATCCATCCATCCCAAATGCAGAAGCACTCTTTCTTTCCACACCTTATAGTTATCACCCCTTAATTCAGGAATGTCACAATTGACATCAGAAATATTCCCAGGTAAAATTGCTGCAAACAAATACATGCTTATTAACGAAATTGAGACTTAACTTTATCATGCTTTACCAATGTAAATCATGCAAAATATGAATCTAGTGACATAAAACCTGCCTATGGGCTAAAGTCCTACTCAAATTAAATTCATAAAAATAACCATATGATGAAACTATCAAATTATATTCATTCCTTAATTCATGTGGGTAGATTAAGGAACATAATTTTATATTTCATCCTAATTAATCATACAAATATAATCAAATTTCCTGTGGGCATATTTAATCATATTACATACAATTAATTACAAATTGATGTCTAGTTTCCACATGTGATTCCATAAAAAAAATTTTAAATAACTAGAGATGCTGTGGCTACTCTCTAATTACTAAAATTAACAAATCACTTGACATAATCTTCTAATAAATTATTTATTCACTTCAACATAATAATAATGAATAACAATAATTTAATATAGAATCATGGACTAAATGTGGAAACTGGATGAAATTTATTCAACTTATTAGAATCTGAAACGTAATTCCAATCCAATTCACAAAAGTTACTCATACATCAGTAAACAAAAAAATACCAGAACGCAAAGAAGGCACTTGGGCATGCTTACTGTACGTCAATTTCTATAAATATGTGACTACTTTATGGATGAAACATGAGAAAAGAATTGGAATAATTTGCTACTGTTCACGAAACAAATCTTCATGTCTTATTGTATCATTTTATCTTAACCATATTAAAATTATAATAAGACTCCGGATTTCATAGTAAGCAAGACAGAGATAATTATTGGCTCTGATACCAAATGTAAAACATATCACATATATTTTACATGTTCTAATTTCCATATGAACATATAATAATAAAGCGGAAGCAACAAGATAAGATCGATTAATTTACCTCCAACCATTGCTTTTGAAAACCTTAGTAGCACTTTAGAAAGCTCTAATTAATGTTGATGGTTCCAAACCCTCCTTTTACTTTTAGATGGTGTATAAAAACATGAGAGTAGATTTGGTGACCTTTCATGAAACACACATTGTCTACTTATACTACTCTAGCCATCATAGAGTAATGGACAAGATAGTGAAATAGTGGGTGGTTTACAAAACGTGGGGGAAGATCATGGGTAGTTGCATTGATCATTGGCAACTTCCCATTAAATGGATCATTAATTTTCCACACTAAAATAATATAATATATTCCTATTGATCATTGGCAACTTCCCATTAAATGGATCATTAATTTTCCACACTAAAATAATATAATATATTCCTATAAAAGTGGAAAACGTCTTAAATGGATCATTAATTTTCCACACTAAAATAATATAATATATTCCTATAAAAGTGGAAAACGTCTTACAAAAACTTGTATAAATATTGAAATGTAGACAAGCATATGAATTAAATGATGAAATTAGAACATACACAAACATGCATCTTTCTTAAGTACAATCATGCTTATACACATTTTTAACGGTTGAAAATATCATAATCCAGTTAAAAATTCAATATGTCATGAACCAACTAGCACCCCGGCGTTTGCCTTGATAAATGTTTTGGCATATCCATATATACGATGGACTGCCTTTGCCTGCATAATAGCTTTTGGAATAACTGAAACCTGCACACATATGCCCACACAACTCTACATGTATGGATGTATTTCATAAATTTCCACAAAAATCATAATACACTTAAAAATGTAGTATTTCATTAACAAATATGCATACTAGTCCTCAAATAAAAAAGTTGACAGCACAGTTTTGCTCAGAACTAGGATTTGCTTAAGCATTTGAGAGATGTTATCAGATGTGGTATGTTGTCATATGGATTGCTTATCACTCAGGAAAAGACGAATGTGTTGAAACTAGTCTTTGTGTTTACTGTTTAGGCAGAAGTTCTAGATTTTCATAAAGGCAGATGGAGGCAGCTAAAAGGAGCACTGTCAAAATGGAACGAAGACATGAAAGATGTAGACTTTCATGAAATTGTGCAGTCATGTGCGGCATAGCAAGTTGTATAAACTGTAGGTTTATTAATATTCATTACACTAAAAAACACACCTAGGTATAATCTTAGGTAATATTACATGTTACTGACTAGATCCTTTAAGAAAGTTGTAACGGTATTTGTAACCTGGGCTTTAGTTTGGAAAGCTGATCTGATTCCATTGACCATTCTCTCAATCAGCTTGGGGATTTCATATAATATATGATGCCTTCCATATTTAAGTTAAAAGCAAACAATTGAATTTGCTCTTCTAAGTTATAATCTGATATGTGAATTGGCACATAGCTTTGCTTGGAAATCTGAGAATATCGTTGTTTTGCTATTGTGTTATGTTGCTTTCAACTTTGGTGTAAGTGTATCATTGCTTCGAGACATTATGTTTATTCTCAGCTCAATTGCTTCTCATTGTTCCTTTTACAATGTGCGGTTCTATGAGGAACTTGTTGATGGCAAGGATTCTGGTTCGACATCCAGGGCTATTCCCATTAAACCTGTGAATAAAATAACTAAATTTGAGAAATTTCACTTGAATTCATGATTTTATTTGTTACTTTATCAAAATAGTACTCTTTAAAAATCTTATACTTTTTTTGTTTTGGGACATCTGATTTATGTGCTGTTTGGTTTTTTTAGTGATTATGGTTTTGTTTGCTTATTGTCTTCTGATCAAAATAAGATTTTTTACTTTACTTCATGATTTTAGTTGTTACTTTATAAAAATCTCTTTTAATTGGGACAATTTATGTGCTCTGACTGTATTTGCAGTTCTATATTGTTTTGAGTATTGGGTACTGATCAAAATAAGATTTTTTTTCTTTAAACTTGACTTCTGCTCTTAGTTGTTAGTTTATCACTTAATTGACCAATCTTGTGTTCTGACCTAAATATATGCTGATACCCAAAAAGTAGCTTGTACAATCTATCGAAGCTTGTTGAGGATTATATTTTCATTTGCATATCCAGTGGCCATTTGATAGTCACTGATGTTTTTGATTACTTTAATTTAATTTAATTTAATTTAGCTTTCACAAAGAAAGAGAAGAAATTTAGTAGCCATTATAAAATGGACTTGTTTCACATTGGCTGACCTTAATTTACTGTTGTAGCAGGTGAAACTTATAAACATATTGAAATGTACACAAACACATGAATTAAATGATAAAATTAGAACGTACACAAACATGCATCTTTCTAAAGTTCAATCATGCTTTTGCACATTTTGAATGGTTGAATGGATCATAATCCACTTAAAAATTCAATATGTCATGAACCAACTAGCACCCTGGCATTTGCCTTGATAAATGTTTGGGCACAGTCATATATATGATAAAGTGCCTTTGCCTGCATAAAAGATTTTGGAATAACTGAAACCTGCACACATATACCCACACAACTGTACATGCATGGATGTATTTCATAAATGTCCACAAAAATCATAATAAACTTAAAATGTAGTATTTCATTAATGAATATGCATAGTTGCATACTAGTGCTCAAAATAAAAATGTTGACAGCACAGTTTTGCTCAGAACTGGGATTTGCTTAAGCATTTGAGAGATGTAATCAGATGTGGGATGTTGTCATATGGATTGCTTATCTCTCAGAAAAAGACGTATGAGTTGAAACTAGTCTTTGTGCTTAGGCAGAAGTTCTAGCTACTGTATTTCCACTCATCAGGTCCATATAGTAGACAAAGAGTCGGAGGTAGGTGCTCTTGAGCATGAAGTCAGCTAAAGGGGCACCGTCAAAATGGAACGAAGACATGAAAGATGTAGATTTTCATGAAATTGTGCAGTCATGTGCGTCATATCAAGTTGTATAAACTGTAGGTTTATTAATATTCATCACAGTCAAAAACACACCTAGGTATAATCTTAGGTAATATGACGAGTTATTGACGAGATCCTTTAAGAAAGTTGTAGCGGTATTTGTAACCTGGGCTTTTGTTTGGAAAGCTGATCTGATTCCATTGATCATCCTCTTAATCAGCTTGGGGATTTCATATAATATATGATGCCTTCCATATTTAAGTTAAAAGCAAACAATTGAATTTGCTCTTCTAAGTTATAATCTGATATGTGAATTGGCACATAGCTTTGCTTGGAAATGTGCATATGTCGTTGTTTTGCTATTGTGTTATGTTGCTTTCAACTTTGGTGTAAGTGTATCATTGCTTCAAGACGTTATATTTATTCTCAACTCAATTGCTTCCCATTGTTCCTTTTACAATGTGCAGTTCTATGAGGAACTTCTTGATGGCAAGGATTCTGGACCGACATCCAGGGCTATTCCCATTAAACCTGTGAATAAAATAACTAAATTTGAGGACTCTGATTCTTCTGGTGAAGAAGGTGAGTCTCCTTGTAGAAGTGAGGACATTGAAGCTGATAAACATGCAAAAGAATGCGAGGATAAGACAACAAATAATAAACATGAAGAAACAGAAAATAAAACTGAGGATAAGACAGCAAATAGGCAACATGAAGAAATAGAAGAAAAAAATGAGGATAAGACAGCAAATAAGCAACATGAAGAAACAGAAGAAGAAAGTGAAAACAAACCAGCAAAGAAACAATATGGAGAAATTGAAGAAGATAATGAGGAGAAACCAACAAAGAAGCAATGTATTGAGGTAGATGCAAATTCTCAAGCTACAGATTCTCGCAATGGTAAAGAAAAGTCCATTGATGACCTAATTGAAGAGGAATTGAAAGAGATGGGGGACAGGAACAAGGTAGCTCTCATCTTATAAACTGTAATTATTTGAAATTAATTCTTCATAATTAACTCATCTTTAATGATGCTAACCTTTTCCTCATATATCGTAAAAGAGGCGTTTCCTGAGTCTTGATTCTGGTTGTAATGGTTGTATCTTCATTCAAATGCATAAAAGTGATGGGAAACATGGGCCTGCTAGCATAGTCCAACACATGATGAGTTCTGCTGCTTTGACAAAGAAACATATGTCAAGGTTTAAACTTGTCCTTTTCTTTTCATTATTCAAACCAATTTGGAACTTTTGCTTTCAGTCCCTTTCTGCGCTCTAACTATACTTCTGTATCACCTTTGATCTGATTTTCCAATATGTTTATATAGGTTTATATTGAGAGTTCTTCCAGCTGAAATTACATGCTATGCATCAGAAGAGGAAATTTCAAAAGCAATAAAGGCGCTTATTGAACAGCATTTCCCCACTGAAGCTCCTACTCCACAGAAAGTATACCTTTTTCCCTAACCTTTTATTATCTCCTTACTTCATAAGATAAGAATTTCTGCTTTATTTTATAAGAATATATCTGATGTCATTTGGGTGTCCGTGTCCTTATGATTTTTAGTTGCCAAATGTGTTGGCAATCGAGCACAGGGCTCTGAAAAAAATTTGGCAAAAATTATGGCCAGCTGTCAAGGACAATTGTGTAACTTGGTGGTTCAAATCGCTTGTGAAGGGAAATGTCAATAAGATAGGGGCTTATCTGAAACCTTAGGTCAGTTGGTGAAGAGGAAATCTGCCTTGTTATGCTTGTAGTTTGAGTTGTTTAAAAGAGTCTAGAAGAAGGAAAAGGTGATAGTTTATAATGCAAGGAATTAATTCTACTCTAGAGGCACAAGAAAAACTAAGGCATAAGCAAAGCTGATCGAGTCCCTACACTTGATTTGTAATAACCAATTCTTGCTAACGTTGGTGAGTTGACAACAAAATGGTTTAAGAAAAGGTCCAGATGGGATGTGTGTTTTAAGTAGTAAAATCGAATTGTTACATACAAGCTCTTCGGGAAATAAGGAGAAATAGTACACTTACATAAAAAATTAAACATTAAAATATAAATTAAAATAATAGTAGAAGTTACAAAAATAAAAATAAGAAAAATAAGAAAAGAAAAGAAAGGAAAGGGAAAGA